CAAAAGCAGGCACGGCACAAAACAAATGTATTGAAACACAAAACCCCAATGACCTTGAGGTGCAAAAAAAAAAAAAACACCAAAACCGTCTGTATATATATCAAGCAAAATGCAATTAAAGCCACCGAAAACAGATATAAATAAATACAAATAGAAGCAACTGTTTCGCTGCTTAGAACTGAACAAAAAAAAAAAAACTCAAAACCAAATTCAAATTCAGCTTTGAATTATTTTTTAAAGACCAGTTAAGCAAATAAAAAACAAGATACATTCGTCTGTGTTCTGGCCCCTGCCCCCTGGCCCACAGGTTTTTGGGAATATTTTTTCAAAGGTTTTGATGGAAAGTTTTTCCTGCAATTAGGAGGGGGAGGCAGGCCAAAAAAACCCCCATATTTGTGTTCCTTTATGTAATTTTTATTCGAATCTCGAGTTTTACGCATTTGCCTTGCGTCTGTGGCATTATTCATGGCCTGACGCGACGATCGAGACCGGCAGCTGCCATTTTTGGGGTCATGATGACGTTCACACTGCAGCCGCATGCCGCATGCCGCCTGGTGCTGCTACCGGCGTTCCAGCCCCATGCCATGCCATGCCGTCATGCCCCGCCGAAGCAAGCGCGCCAAAAGATGACTAAGCGAAAGAGCAAAGAGAGCAAGAGAGTCGAAGAGCAAGAGAGCCGACGGGCCGAAGAGCAAGCAGCCACCGAACAAAGAGAGCCCGAACGTCGAAGAGAAACCAACGCTGAGAGCTTTTAAGCACAGTGGTGGGAAACGAAATTTGAATTTGCTGCTGGAAAACCGTTAATGAAGCTTTTCTCTCGGGGGAACAAAAAGGTGCACTTTCTTTGTAGCACTTTTTAGTGGCATATCCCCTGGGCAGATAAAGATACATATCTGTATTTATAGGTCTCCCACTGTGTTGGTAATATTTCGATCGAATTATTTTCCATGCAGGGCCTGGTATCCGTTATCAGATTTATTGGCAGGCAGAGATTTGAGCAGATACGATATGATGTGATATGATAACCTTGAACTCGAGTGGTTTTCAGGCGGAGATAACGCTAAACAGTTCCCAGATAACAGGACCCCTCCCCCACCCAACGGCAGCTATAAAAATACCGTTTATCAGAGGCACCAGCAGGGCACCAATACAGGCGGCTTCTGGCAAACTGTGCTATCGAATTTCACCGGAATCTGCAAAGTATCTGATAGATACGATTTCTTTTGTTTTCCCCCATAAACTGTACTGCGTTCTGTGCTGCACCGTGGCGCTGTTTGCCGCTGCTCCCTCGCAGCCGTCTACGAAAGCGATGGATGGATGGCAATCGACGACCTTGACCGTGAAATTTAAATTTAGAAGCTACGGCGACGGCGGCTGAGACGTAAAAAAATTAAATACCAAAGAGCTTTCCGACCGCCACCATCTGTGTGTGTGTTTGTGTGTGTGCGTGTGTGTGTGCGTTCGTAATTAGTACACAAAAAAAAAAGCTGCGCTCTGTCACCGGTATTCCGTGGCACCACCCCACCCCCCGCTGTCACCACCTAGGGATACAGATTCAAAGGAACTTCGCCAATTTGGCGCGCATGTGACTTGTGTAAATATTTATGTGGATGTCTTGGGATATTTTGGGGAATTATTTTTATATGCACAAGACGCCGGGCGATTTAATTGAAATTTGAACTTGCGTGTCGGCGCCGCCGTGACTTGTGCAATCATGCAAATTGTTCTAATTATATGAAATTGGGTGAAGCTGGCAAGTGCTATTCTATAAATAAACAGAATTGCTCTGAACTGTTTGAAAATGGCGCCAAACGAGAGCCAGTGCTGTCTTGTGTTGAGTAACTATTTCAGGTGGTACCAATCGATATATCGATAAGCACAGAAAGAATGCAATGGCCATAGAGATGGTCGTTTCTGGTCTCTGTTCAAAAACAGCGACAGACTCGTTGAAGGATATTATACTTAATTATTGCCTATCACTTACAGCCAGTTGATCATAAAAAACAATTTGGGCCTTTATCTAAGTCCTTCAATTTGATTTAAACGTGCCACGGCTTTATTTGCTCTTATTTTCGCTGTTCAAAAATTCGATAGTTCCTGCCAGCTGTGACCAGTGACTGTAAAAATACACGTGACTAGCAACAGGTGAGCAAACGGGGGCCATCACTAATAAACAAGTACCGCAAATGAAACATTTTTCTAGAAACAACGATTTAAATCGTATTTTTTACAGTAATACCGCCATTGCGTGAAGTGAAAAAGTCAATTGGAACTCATTTGAGGCATACCTGAACACAGAAAGCCAGAAGCGAGTCGATAGTGGCCGCCTTGGGTTAGCACGTGGAGCACGTGTGGGAAGCGTTTTTCGTTTATCCGATACGTTATTAATTGAATTCAAGCGAAAATGTTAGAGGACAACACATTTAGTGAATATTATTTATGCAATTTCAACGATGCCGTGCCACTGGATGGTGAGTATTGCTTCCCCAAAGGAGCCTGCTAATATTAATGGCAATTTCCCCACCCAAAGATTTGCCGGCCGATGAGCAACTGCGCCAGTTATGGACCGGCCAAGAGCTGTGGACAGTGGAGGACCTACGGCAGATCATCACCAACTGGCGGGAAAGGGATTCCCACATTAAGGAGACTTCCACGCAGCTACTCAACAGCTTTCTGCGTCTGTTCTTCGCGTTTGTGCAGAACAATTGCACGGGACCCTTTGACAAAGTCGCCGACTGCCAGAAAATGATGAGCCAACTGCAGTTGGAGGCATTTGAGCCGCAGGAGCAGCTGAAGGCCAGCGGCGAGGAGTTGAATCCCAACGTCAAGACGGGCGAACTGCTGGTTGTGGCCAGGGAAATACTGCGCGGCTTGTTGGAAGCTTATCCAGACTCAAAGGTAAGCAAACAGACTGTGCTTTCTGTAAGACGATGATCCCAATCCTTCTTTAGGTCCTGGCCGTGTGGAATATACGGCTGATTTGCCAGCATCAGCTTATCCTGGACGACCTGGCCGCCTCCCTCTACGAGCAGTTCAAGGCGGGAGCTGTGGTACTGCGGCCCCAAGCGAAGCACTTTTCCAGCAGGGAACTGCAGTCTCTGCTGCTGCTGGAGCTGGCCAATGGCTACCTGCTGTTCCATCGCTCCGAAATGGCCTCCCAAGTGCTGGATGAGCTCTGCTCGCACCTCCAGGTGGAACTGAAGGTCGAGGGTTTGCTGGGAGTGCGCACAAAGTTCCAGCAGAAGCCCCTGCCCCAGCTCTGCCTGAAAGTGGAGCAGCTGTCGGAGCTGACGGAGGCCAGCAGCCCTGCCCTGCCAGCGGCTGCCGAGACCAACAGGCAGACCAAGCTGCCCAAGCTGCTGCTCCTGGAGGATGATACACGACTGGAGCGAATACGCTTCATTGAGCCAAAGGACAATGATGTCATGACTTTGCCCAGCGTCCTGCAGGCCCTCGTCCTGGCAAAGGTGTGAGTAGACAATCAATACGACAAGATATGGCTTCTTTTAATCCCTGATTTCTTTCACAGAAAACAGTTGAAGCGCTCGCAGCCGAAGGACCGCCTGGCAGATGAGCAGCTGGAGCCGTACACCCAGACGTTGCTCTACCAGGAGCACGGACCCCTTCAGGTGCGCCAGGCAGCCTTGCTCCTGAACTGCCTGCAGGAGTCTAACCAGCGCCGGACTGTCGAGCGCAGCTGGAAGCAGTGCGAGGAGTGCGTCAAGCTGTTGGACCACAGCGAAGAGCAGCAGTCGCTGAGATCTAGGCTGTCGTATGGATTCGCGGCCCACCTCCAGCCCATCTGGCAGGTGCAGCTTCAGCTGGTGGATCTCCTGCGGTCCCTGGGAATGACCAAGACAGCTCTCGACATTTGCCTGAAGATTCAGGCCTGGCAGCAGGTGATTGACTGCTACACCAGTCTGGAGCTGCGTCACAAGGCGGCGGAGATCATACGCCAGGAGCTGGAGAAGAAACCCACGGCGCTGCTCTTCTGCCTGCTGGGCGACGCCATCGATGACCCGCAGTGCTACGAGCAGGCCTGGCTGCATTCCAAGAAGACGAGCAGCAAGGCCCAGTCCTACTGGGGAAACTACTTCTACAGAAGGGCGGAATATGCCCAGGCCCTGGAGCACTATCAGCTGTCGCTGGAGATCAATACGCTGCAGGAGTCGACGCTCCTGCGCTGCGGCTATTCCGCGATGCAGCTGGAGAAGTGGGAGGCGGCCGTTAAGTCCTACCTGGCCTACACCCACCTGGAAGCCAACGGGTTCGAGTCGTGGAACAATCTGGCCAAGGCCCTGATCAACCTGGGCGACAAGCAGCGGGCGCACCGTGTGCTGGGCGAGGCCCTCAAGTGCAACTACAGCAACTGGAAGGTGTGGGAGAACTACATGCTGGTGGCCGTGGACACCTGCCACTGGGACGATGCCATGCGGGGCTACCAGCGTCTGTCCGAGCTGAAGCAGCACTACCTCGACCAGGAAGTGCTCGCGAGAATCGTCTACGGCATAGCCAAGCAGCATCAGGAAGGACCCAGCCAGCTCCTAATCAAGAGGGTTGTCCAGCTCCTCGGCCAGCAGTGCATCCAGCACGGCAACGAGCCCCTGGTCTGGGAGCTGGCTGCCGTGGTGGCCGCCACACCGCTGAAGAAGGCCGAGCGGCTGGTCAAGTCTTATCGGGCCTACACGGCCAAGCATTCGGGATGGGAGGTCAAGGCAGAGCATGCCCAGAAAGCTCTGGATCTGTGCCTGGAGGTGGCCGAGCTATCTCTGGCGGCGGTCCAGGAGCATGCCGCCGACGAGAGCGAAGTCATGATCACATCCACACTAAACTCGGCCCGACTGTCCGGTACATCCTGTCTGAACGCCCTGCGGCGCGCCATCAACGTCAATGTGCCGCCCGAGCAGCAGGAGAAGGCGGACCAACTGGACAAACGGATCGCAGATCTAACCCAAGTGGTGCAGCAGCGAATGAACACGCAACGGTCGGTTTAGCCGGACTCTGAACTAGATTTAGTGTTTATTAGTTGTACATGATAATTGTGTATTTGAAGGACTCGTTGGGCGTCAGCTAAGTGTGGCATGGGCTACCGTGTTGTGTTGAAGTGTCGAAAAGTAAAAGAAACAAAAGGATCACAAATAAATGAACGGGTTTAAAGGACGTTCAGCTTGGTGCTGATCAGCACTCGAACGCTCTGATCGAAGGCCCCACAGACGGCGAGGCCCAGCTTGTCCGGATGCCAGTCGAAGCAGTGCACCGGCTGGGAGCTCAATGTGGCCGCACTGATCATGTGCAGAGTGCCAGCCACGCCCGTTTTGGTGCCGTCCGCGTCCACGACGACTCTCTTGTCGGGATACTCGTACTGCCAGAGGCGTATGGAGCCAGTGCCACCGCCAGTGAGGAAGACATCGCGATTCTGTGGCAAATGGCGTGCCACCCAGACAGTGGCTTTGGGGCCGCTGATGACACCGTTTGTGCCCACACTACGGCCGGCGTTGCGCTCCTCGACATAGCTGAATCCCTTGGTCGGATGCTGGTGGCGCATATCGTAGACCAGGAGGCCTCCCTCCAGCGTGGTTACGGCCAGTTTATTCATCGGTATGTCGCGGCGATCAAACTCGAGGCCACAAATGCCATTCTTCATGGACGCCTCCCAGCGCACGGAGAGCGTACGGAGGTCGAAGAGCTTCAGGTCCCCGTTGTCATAGCCAGCCGCTACCATGCGCTCCTCCGAGTTGAAGGTATTGCCGAAGGCCACTGCCCAGCAGTCGCGCCGGCCGCTGCTCTGATTGATGCCGTCCCCCATTTGCGGTGGCGGTGAGATGTCCACCACAGGAGACTGTCCCTGTCGTATGTCCCACACCTTGACGGCGCCATCACGGCTGCCGGTGACGATTTCGGGGGCTCCACAGTTGAGCTGGTTACCGCCAATGGCATCGATGGTGTTGATGATGGCCGTGTGGGCCTTAACATTGTACACCGGCAGTTCGGGACGCTCCATATCGCTGAAAAATACCCTGATGGATGAACAGATCTAGCAATGGCTGTGGCCAGAGGCCAGTGGCCCCTGTTATTCTTACAGCACTTGCAGCCTCCCCTCGAAGTCTCCAATGGCAATGTGACGGTTTCGCAGCGAGGAAGCCCCGAATGTGCCGCACTTGAAGGCCACCTTCTTCTCCACAGTCTTCACCTTGACCAGCTGGTCCTCGTTCAGCTCGTAGATGTCCATAATGCCATGGCTGTTCGCCTTTGAGCCGAGCACCACAAACTTGGCCGAGAGCGGAATCCATTTCGTGTCGTACACCGTGTAGTTAACGGACGCGTTCAAGTGCTCAATCAATTGGGGCTTGTCCATTTTGTTGCCTTTTCAGTTCAAGCAGAGCCTGATTATGAAATCTGAACGGAATTTCACAAACAACTTGTTTAAAATGCGTTTCCATAGTTCCGACGTGCCGGCAAGTGACAGTTTTCGATATATTTTTAGATTACTTATCGATAGTTCTCACACGCTGATTTCGGGGCACAATTTGGGTACTCCTGATACGCATTTCTATTCGGTATGGATTCGCGTGGATGAGCTTTTCCAAATAGCATTGCACTGCTCATATTCGTGCGAAGAGAGAGACAGCTGGGGAGAGAAAATTAGGGAGACACGTCTCCCGGCTATCAATCGAAGAACTGAGACAGTATTTGTTTTCCAGCACACATCCTGCAATCGATAGTATCTGCCGAAGCGCTGCTTCCAGCTCTACATATATTTCTCTCGCTCTCTCAGATGGCTCTCATATGCGCGGACTGTCGGAAGAAGGAATATCCCAACAATTCTGGAAATTAACAGGACATTTAATGTGTATGCTGCTCTTTTGATTTGAAATTTTTATTTTATATGAATACCTTTTCATCAAAAAATATTTTTGAAGGAAACAGGTACCGGTTCGTTCCCGAAGCTTTCATAGATAAGCGTTGCGTGTCCGTTTCAGGAATCGCCATAATAAAATATCGATAACTGGGGATACATTCGACGGCGTACAGACTTCGCATACGCATTTCGCATGCGATATTTTGCAGTATTGTGCAATAAATTAAATATAAAAATCGCAAACATCGCATGTGAATTTCCTTTCTGATATGTGATATCGGCAGCGCTCAAAAATAACAACAAAAGCCAGAGCAGCTGTGACGGCGTCGAAAGCTCCCCGTGAAAAGCTTCGATGGTCTCCAATTGGACGCTCGCAAGCTCAGTGTCGTGTCGCACTCATTTTGGGGCCGTTGGTTTTCCGGGTGTGTGTTTTCCCTCTAGCGCGTGCATCTGTTTTTGGCGCTCGACCCCAGCAGCAAGCAGCAGGCAAGACAGCAACAACGACACGACAAACTCGTACGTACATACGTGTGTCGCAAGAGTCGCTTTTCTCGGCAATAAACAAAAACAAAAACAATAGCCAGCAGCAAGCAGAAAGCAGCAACATTCATCGGGCGGTTGAATAAGTAGAAATAAAAAAATAAAAGAATACAAATAACGGAATTGCTTGAAAGCACGCCAACGCCAGCAGAAAATATAATAATTAGCTTTAATCTGTTGGCTTTTAACATTTTTTTTATATGTGATAATTATGAAACAAAAGTTCTTAAAGTTAGCAAAGGATTGTGAAAAGTGTTAATCAAATATTTTACTGGCAACAAGTTGAAGGTGACAACAATCGACCACGCGAATACCCAGCAACTGAAAAAAAAATAAAAAATAAACATACAACCACAAAGGCAGCGTATTTGGCAACTGCATCGAATGCCAAACCAACCAAAATTTCATTTACGAGTTGTTTCCGTAAGGTAAAAAACACCAAAGATTCCTACATTGCGGTCTATTGGCAGGGGCAGGGGATGGGGCTGGTGCTGGGGTTCATTTCTGAACTCTTGTCTCTGCGCCCTCTTTCGATTTCTTGTCAATTTAGGCCAATCAAATTAATTGTACATTTTGCTCAGCTTTTTCAACGCCTTTATTGTTTTCATTTGCTTGGCGGCACTGCCCGCTCCCCCTTCTTTTTTTTTTTTGCTCTCTTTTGAACCTTCTTTCGTTGGGGTGCATTCGCACTCGAGTCTGATTGGGAGGTCTATTTGTTGCTGTTGCTGCATTCCCTTTCATACATACCACATACATACATACATACATATGCTATATGCTATATGGTATATGCTATGTGCTTGTTTCTGTCGTTCTTCCCGTTTCGATGGTCTGATCGGTCTGTCGATGCTGCCTTCTCCTCTAGCTTCTTTATGAACTTTCAATATTTGCACAGAGGAGTGGTGGATACTCGTGATTGAGGCCGAGATCGTGATGATTGCATTGCCAATCAGAGATTCATATATTTTTAGTCTAGAGAGTTCTATTGACTTTGCGGGGGTGATCAGATCGTGATCAAACAACAACACGAGCTCTACACGAGCTTCGGCTTCTGCCATTCGCTTCTAGATTTCAACTTTCTCTTGAATTAATTTTTATTTTTATTGTATGTTTTTTTTTGCCAGAAAAAGTGCATAAGCCATTAAACTGTCAACCTGTTGATTTATCAGCTGATTATTCGATGTATGTACATATGTGTATATGTGTATGTGTGTGTGTGTGTGTCTTATCAACATTTGCCATTATCGGAGTGCAAAAAACCCCAACCCCTGCGTTACACCTGTTGTGCCACCGTTTTTATGAGAGTTTCGTTTTGAGTAAAGATTGTATGGTGCCTGATAACATGAGGAAAAGCTCAAACATTCTATTGAACGCTGCTCCAATTTCATATTTCATGTGTGTATGTGTGTGTGTGTGTGTGTGTGGAATGCGTGCGTGCGCAAGTGGCAAATACCCTACCCATACCCTGCCCCCCACTCTGCAAGCTATAGAAAATAAATAAATGCCGCCATCGCCACCAATCGAAATCTAAACAAAGAGTTATCAAAAAAATCTGCCAACTGTGGCACAACAGAACTTCCCCCATCCGTATGAAACAAAGTATCAAAGTCCGACCACCCCCGCACCCATATCCGAACGGGATACGACACGGAAACACTACACTGTGCAAAAACAATCCAAAGTACGACTGAATCGAAGATGATAAGACTTTGAACCGAATCGGAAACCGAGTCCCCGACCGAACAGTAAATACAATAAAATACCTACAATATTGTACACGTATGCCTGTATGTGTGCCAGCTGGTATGTACGTGTTACCAGAGCGGTTCATAACTTATCGCTTCAGCTACTGCTTGAACTATGCAAAGCGTTACGGCTATGTTGATCAAACCTGACTCATTGCCAGCCCGCTTTGAGTAGAAACTGAGTCAGAACCGCATTTAGAAGACAACGCATCCCTAATCAAACCCAAACACGGCTCTTGTTTGGTCTACACTATCTGTTTGACTTTTCTTATTATATTATTTTATTTTATTTGGCCAAGTAGTACGTACACATAAAAAGCTCGCGTGCCCCCATAAATAACCAGCCAAGAGGTGGGCAAATATTTGACTCCCCTCCATTCCCCTCCACTCCGCTCCGCTCTACGGTCTCTTATGTCCATCAGCGTTTATCAGATCAACCTGCAGCATCCACTGAAAAATAAATACGGAATAAGAGCCCCAGAGATCACACAAATAAAGGCCCCAGCTCCATAATTAGTTTTCTTTATTCCATTGGGCAGAACAGACGCGTGTTTCCAACTCCCATCGAGAGAGAGAGAGCGAGAGAGAGAGAGACTCAATCAACATGATTGAAGTGCGTGTACCACCTGAAAACCCCCTCCGCCACTTGCGTTGCGACTTTGTCTGGTGTCTATCTGTCTATGACGTGATTGGGCTTACGTAATCACTAATGTGATATCAATTTTCCACGCCTGAACGGCCGGGAACGGTGTGCGGTGCGGTGCGGTGCGGCTTAGTGCAGCCATGTGAAGGCCACTCGAGACCTGATAAGGACAAGGGCCGCCCACTCAATCATTCGACACCCGTTTTTGGGTTGCGGGTTGCCCCTCCCCAGTGGACAAGTAAGGATGAGCCACGTGATCTCCAGGCTCTGATGGTTTCTGGCTGGAATCCCTCTCAATCGGATCTCTTGCGGGTTTTGCCTCTGTTGCGGAGGCCAAAAACATTGATTAATCAGCGGCGATGGAAATGTTTGTGCCCCGCGCTGATAAGCGGACGACAATTTTGATAAGCAGCCGAAAAAGAAAAAAACACCCCGACAGCTGTCTGACAATAGTGAAACGCTTTATCCAGCCATCCCTCCCTGCTCCGCCGCCTGGTCATGTGAGGGCCGTTCCATAGGCGGCTAAGGCCCGATCCCGTTTTTTGCAATTTATTTTAACAATCGAACCGGTTCGCTGGCAGAACTAATGGCGGTCCGTCCACCAGGGGCATCCCAATTAAGCCGGCTTCAAGGTGTTGCCTCTATACATACACACACCTGTACATAGTACCCGTAATCGTGTTAGTATGCACGTATATTTTATGGATTTAGTATTTGTCGTCAAGTTCTAAAAGCGAGACAGGGACAGAGAGAGAGAGAGAGAGAGTTAGAGGGGCACTGATGGCATTTGTACTCTCTAAATTCCAGGCTTATCCATTTCCCCCTCAAAGCTCCTGAGTGGATCCTTTGGGGGAATGTAGTTTTTCCCACTCAACGGCCATCGTTTCATTCAAAGCCAACCCTCATTTGAATTGTAAATTTGCGGCACTTGCAATGTCAACGACTTGCCATAAAATCCGCCATGATCTGGCGATTGATTCTCTGTTCTCCAAGTAGTTTGGTTTATATATATATTGTATTTGAAAGCGCTGAACTTGACATTGCGGTCGAGTCCCCCCCCCAACGGGTTTTGGGAGCTCAAAAGCTCTCGACTTGGGACTTGCTTTTCTTGGGATATATTTTGTCGAAAACTGTGTCAGTGGGTAAAGGGAATTTCAGGGGTTTATACATGGCTTTCCAATGCCTTTTGTCCAAGAATCCATTCGATTCATAAACAAGAGCCATTCCATGCCATGGGTTTGGCTGTTTCCTTAACCAGCCTTTAGCTATTTGCTGATTATAAACCATTTTCAACTGTAAAGTGTATGAGCCAACTCAGACATTTGCCATAAAAGTAATCCACCATTAACCGATTACTGTAGGTGCTTATGGCTTGGGCCAACAAAGGCAACAGCACAGCAAACAATCGTGTACTTCGTATACATACATGTATGTACTTTATTGAGCATTTAGCGGTCATTTGGCTTTCGCTAGGGAGTTGACCGGACATCTTCAGCACAGAACAGAACAGAAAGGAACAGAACAGAACAGAATAGAACAGACGTCAATAGAACTATGCGCAATCAGAATATGAGTACGATCACAATAGAGATAACCGTTGTGCGAATTGGCGGAGAATTGTTCGTG